GTTTTTTTTTTTTTTTTTTTTTTTTTTTTTAACATCTTATTTAATTGTTCCATTTACCCTTGACCCCTCATTTTTTTTGGAGACAGACTTTTTTACTTCCTGTCATTCTCTATTATTGTGCTATTTATTTTATTTCCTTTTTCATTATTTGAAATTCTCTTTCTTGATTACTTGATCGTTAATTATTTCTGCTTTGGCAGAATACAAACTCTGGGAGGCCTGGGACTTTTGTCTTTCACTGCAGTCCCTTCAGTATGTATTTATTGAATAAAATAGTTCAGTATTCTGTAAAAAATTACTAGCATCTCAATGACAATTAAACAATGCTTTGTGATATACAATTTTCCAGACCCACATTAATGAAAAAAACACCAAAAAATAAACTGGAAGCTATGACTGCGCCTTGATGTTTTTTAGGGGAGCAGTCAATGTCATTTTCAAAGGAGATCTTTTACCAACATTTACACTGCACCCTGACATTTATTTAGTATACCCCAGTTATCTCAAAACTGCATCTTACACATAAGAACCTAGCTCCCTAGAAGTGCTAATGCTCCCCTCTACCTTCCATAAAACCTTGAATTCAATCACAGTGATCCATTTCTTTAATTAAGCACAGGAAATCTGTGGGACAAATAAACAACTCTATTTGAACAGCCTGAGAGAGAAATTTATCAACGGTGCAGTAAGACTTTTTTTTAAAAAAAAACTATGCTCCTGAAATTATGTTCAAAATCAGACCATAAAAATAGTTTTGTTTGGGCCTCGGTGTCACTTATCCTAGGGGATACACAGGTAGGTCAGATAGTTAGAACTCAAAGGTACCATCTTTGAGTCCAATCTCCTCAATTTAAAGATGAGAAAAGCCAGACCCAGAAGAGTGCGTTTTACCTCAAGCTAGCTACGCTGGGATCAGAACTCATTTGGAGTGAAGCACCCAAGAACTGGCCCTTGTTACTAGCTCTCCTCTCCAGATCGCCTGCTCCTTGTCCCTTCTCAGCCCATAACACGTGAACTGTTTGTTAACCATGTTCTCAGTTCCCAAAGCAATTTCTTTTACGTTATTCAATTTCACCCTCACACCACCTTTAAGGGTGGAGAACCTAATCAACCCCATTTTAAGGATGGATAGAACACGCACGAGTGGCTTCACATCTGCCCAACTGGGAAGTGTAGAACGTGAATCCTGCGGCCTTGCCCCTCACCCGTTGCCTCTGCCCCCTTGGCCCTCCCCCGAATCAGGGAAGAACGGAAGTGCCCGCGGGCCTCGGCAAGCTGAGCCCTCCCGAGAACACCTCCCTTTCTGGAACCTTCTCTTTCCCCGACCGTAGTGCCAGGGGAGCACGCCCCGACCGTTACTAGGCCCTTCTCCTTCACTACGGCCGCCGCAGCCCTATGCCGACTCTTCCACCTCATCCCCTTCCTTCCTCTCTTACTTTCGCTCCCTCCTTGAGCATCTGGGCAAAGCCCGGAGCCTTGGGGACGTGAAGCGCCATTGCCAGCCTGCAGATACCCGTTCACGCGCTCGTTCGGAAGCTCCCGGAGGAAGCCACGGCCGCGCACAGCCCTCTGGGAACGCGGCGTGCCGCCGACTCACGCTCCTCCTTTCTTTCCAGTTGGCTTGCCCCTTGCCCAGCCGCCTGGACTGAAGCATCGCGAGAACCAGAGCAGCTCCCTCAGCCAGAAGAGAGCTGACGATCCCCGATAAGGTCGATCGATTGGGCCGAACGCAAGGCGCGCTTTCTGTCTTTAGGCTGACGCACGCGCAGGAGGACTGGGATGTTGTGGCTTTCGCCTGACTGTCCCCATTGATAAGATTCAGTGATATGGACTTTTGATTTTTTGCCGTTTCTGAACTGAACGCCGCACTACCTAAGCTTAGGGAGAACCTGCTCTCATCCCCAAAAACTATCTCTGGGAGTCCGCTGTGTAGGGCAGTGTAGGAAGCGCTGGGGACGTGAAGGTGATAATTAAAATCATTAATAAGGGCAGCTACGTATCGAGTGCTCATATGTGCCAAAGTCTGTGATTTGTTTTACGTGCAGTATCTTTGTTAATGGTCAATCTTACAAGTTAATATTACCTCCATTTTATAGAAGGGAAACAAGTTCACAAACGAAAAATAATTTGCCCAAGATTACAAAGCTAGTAAATGATCAGATCAGACATTGCAAAATGCACGTTGTTAATCACTCTATATTCCTCTTTTCTACTGCTTCTTAGAAATATGTCCCCTCCTCAGCCACGGCCAAAAAAAAAGAAATAATCATGTGTGACAAGCATATCATCAATTACAGCTTTTTCCATTTTTCCATAAGCATTTAAAATGTGTAATTGTGAAATAAAAAACGCCTTTTTGCCACCTCAGAGCGAATGATATGTGAACCACCCACTGGGAAACACTGCAAGAGATCACACGTTCTTCCAAGTGTGGTCTAGGGACCTCTGAGGTTCCCCAAGGCTCTTTCAGGGACCACCAAGACAAAACTGTTTTCATAATAATACTAAGACGTTTCTTCTCTCTTTTTTTCCAGTGGGAAGTTTTCTAGAGGCCTAGGTGATGTGCGATATTACAACAGTTTAGATGTAAAAGGCGTGAGAAGCCAGTTTTTTTCTATTAAGGCAAATATAAAAGATTTACAAAAATGTAAAACAATGCCACTTTTCTCTCTCTCTTTTTTTGAAAAATAGTTATTTGTAATAAAAATGTTAACATGTGATGGGTGACAGGATGAGGCACAAATGCAAGGCAGCTCGCCGGAGAAGTTCCGATTTTATTTAGCGAGTACATCTGTTTTATAGGGTTAGAAGAGAATTGATAGGTTTACAGGGGACACGGGGCGTTTGGGGATTGGATGGATTATGTTGCTAAGGGGCCAGCAGCAGGGAGCCTGCGCTGATTGGCGCGCGATTTGCGCCGGCGGGAAGGTATTGTGGCGCTGGCGGGAAGGAAAAAGGCCGAAGAGAAGGGTAGCCAGTGCCATGATGGGGCGCGGCCAAAAAAGAGTTCTCATACGACCTAATAATGGGTTTATTGCAATTTTTTGACTTAAGGTCTACAAATGTATCAGTTTTAATTTATAATACAGTAAATATTGATAGCTGCAACCCACATAAAAGGCCTTTTGAGGACGCCAGTCATTCTTAAGAGTGTAATGGGTACCTGAGACTTAAAAGTTAGAGAATCACTACTAGATCAGTCCTGAACAATAGGTCAATCCAAGATTTTCTCATGGATTAGTTAAGAAATAAATAAAAACTCATTCCTCTGACACAAAGTGAATATTACCTATAAACATAACTAACAAAAAACCGAAAGGGGCTAAAATGACAACTGATAAAATTTTTAGGTTCCTCTTTTCCTAGTTATAGGGGGAAAATCTTTTACAGAGATAAAAATAGGCAAGTTATGCTTACGGTTTTTTTTTTTTTTGTCTTTTTCCGTGTCCGGCAACGGATCGCAACCCTCAGTGTCGCCCCCGTACCGGACCGGGACCGGCAACGGAATCGCAACCCTCGGTGTTGCTCCCGCGCCTCGCTCAGCCAGTGAGCGGGAACCGGTCTGTATGTGGGATCCGAACCCTCGGCGGGAGCACCACCACGCTCCCAAGTTGCGCACTATAGCAGTGCGCCACCGGGCCGGCCCTTATGCTTACGGTTTTTTTTTTTTTTTTTTTGTCTTTTTTTTTTGTCTTTTTCCGTGTCCGGCAACGGATCGCAACCCTCAGTGTCGCCCCCGTACCG